AGAGGCCTGACTGCCGCGTGCTAAGAGATGAGCGACTATAAACTTCGGCCCTTCCGATCATCAGCAGAGAGCTGGCTTATCAGCTTTCTGGAGGCCCTTTTAAACAGTTGTTATGGGGGGGGGGGGGATGCATTTTATTATGCAGATGAACTCAAACCTCAGGTCGCTCTGTCCCAGAGATGAAAACTACATTACAAGGAGGTTTAGATTATCTGCTTGATATTTTCCTATGTAAAAAATACGTATCTATATCTACACACACACACACACACACACACGCACGCACACCCCGACCTACTATGTGTCCTGCCTGTCACCGGACGGTCAAGCCCATTTCAAGCTGCCATAATTGCTTTACAGTGTCACCCACCTAGCTACCAGGCTGAACTCCGATCAGCATGAAGTTTCACACCGCATTTATCACACGAGCCCACACAGCTGATAGATTTTGAGAGATCTTCATGCACACACACACAAGCAAAACTGGGAAAGTCTGCATAAGATCACTGGATGGTATCCATATCAATACCTTGGTTGTGATTTTGTGCTATAGTGTTACAAAATGTTACCGTCCGAGAAACCTGGGCTATGAGAGCTCTCTGTGTTGTTTCTGAGACTGTGTGTGCAAGTACAATTATCTCAATAAAAGTTTCAATTAAAAAAGATATAAAACCACTCACGGCCAGCCCTTGATATGCCTTTAATATGGGGGGGGGGGAGGACATACGTATTAAGAAAGTAAACCATAGGGAGGCCTGGCTGGCTCGGTCACTGGAGCGTGTGCCTCTCAATCCTGGGTTTGTGAGTTTGAGCTCCATGTTCTGTATAGAGATTAAAGGTAAGTAATAAGCAAAATAAAAATGGTAACTCATTAAATGCTAACTGCATAATAGCATAATAGGTACTGTGATAAACATTTTATTAAGACTTTAATCTTCACAACACTCTGTGAGGCATTATTATTATTATTATTATTTCTGTTTTCTGTTTTAGACAAGGAAACTGGGCCTAGGAGAGCTTAAGTAGTTTTTCCCAGAGTCACAGAATCAGAAAGTAGAAAGGCAGGACCCAAACTCAGGTCCAGAGCCAGCTACCCTACCTTATACCTTATTTGCATAAGAATGCTGTGTTTTGGTGGAAAGAGAAATCATAATAAGGGAGGAGGACTGTGCGGCAGGGGTGCGGTACAACTTGAAGTACCTTGCAGGATCTTGGCCTTGAAAGATGAGAGGAGCTGAGCTGGCAACAAGCCAAGCCAGGGCATTCCAGGCAAGAAGACAGAAGAAACACCACACGTCTGAGAGAATGCTTCATCTTCCAGATAAAGAAACCAGTGTGTTTGTCTGCTTTGCCACTCAGAGGTAGATGGAAACAGTATGGTAGAGGGTCTTGAATGCTAGGGGGATGTCGTAAGGTCTTCCTGGGTCTAGCCAGCGATCTGGGAAAGGCACTGATGAGGCCAAGGTTATATGTGAATCGCCAGCATTCACAAGGGACCCTAAGTGCAAGGTGTTTACAGTTTAGTACAAAGTAATCCATTGCCAGGCCCAAAGAGCAATGGGAAGCAGTTTGGTAATGGGAAAATTGGTATGTAAAGGGAACCAAAGAAAATATTTATGACATCAAAGGCCATAAAGTGGTTGAGACCAGTGATCATCACGGAATTAATGGAATTAAATCTCGTCCCATATGGCTACTTATTCTTTCCATTCTTGAGTGCCTACTATGTGGCCAGCATGATTCCAAGGACTTGGGATTTCTCCGTGAACGAAATACAGTGACCAAAACCCCCTGCTGTCAAGGAGCTCCCTCACCTTCTGTGCTTAGTGCTGACTCCTGATCAGGAAGATCCTTAACTCTCAAAACCGAAGATTGTACTTTCATACTGTACACTTGACATCCCATGACCCCACAGAGAACTGCAAATCTCTCTGGGGTGCATCTGGACATCGATGGAGAAGGGCAGACACAGTGCTTCTGGCTTAAGAGTGAGGATGATCTTACCCCCGTGTGGCTAGAAGGAAACTTAAGCCGGGCAGGTTGTCAGGTCTTTGCCTCTGAGTTGGATCGTAAGAAAAGAGCCAAACCAAGGTGAGGGATTGGCGGTATGATCCTTGAAGATGATTCAAGTTAGCCCGGGATACCCTCTCTGTTTTCCACTCCCAAACTGGAATTAACTTTGGAATCTTCCATAAATGGAGAGAGACTGGGGGCTTTCCAATCCCAGCCTGGGTAAATACTGTTTCCACACAAATCAGCACAAGATGGCCTTACCTTGTAAAAGCAGGAGGGGAAGACAGGAAGTAAATACTCCCGGAGACCTCTGTGTAGGCTACAATATTTGGTTCTTTCCTTGTTCTTAAAATGCAGACTGAGAGGTATGGACTTTTCCTCAGAATGCTAAAAGCAATATACAGATGGAGACAAACTACTAAAAGATAAGCTGACGGCCACTGTTTCTACAAAAGGGCACCTAAAGGTAAGTGCACCAGCCAAGAGTCAAGAGTGGGGAGATCCATCATTATTACCCCCGACCAAGGATTTTTAACCATTTCGAATTTTAAGTTCCCAATCCCTCAAGTGTCTGAGAATAAATACTTAAAATGTCTTTTTTACTTACTTATCAAAAAATTCACCAATTTTTTTTTTCCAGCAGTATTTTTAAAAAGTCTGATTTAGCTCCCAGGGACCTTCTCATGGTTTTGTGTCACATTTATAATGGTATGTAGCCCTTTGTTGTAAATCTGGCTACTATCTTGTATGGATGTAAGGGACTGGGGCATCTCCCACAGTTAGACAGTAACTTTCTGCATGGATAAAAGAATCTGCTCTCACTGTGCCCCTGGCCCTGGGGAAGAATTCTCCTGCTTTCGTTAAGCGAAGGGGGGTGGTGGTGGTAAAAAATGCCACCGATACAGAGCTCCCATCTCTAACTTCAGGCTGCGCAGAACCGTCTCTGAATCTACAACTTCCATTCACGTTTCTGGTCGCCCTTGAGTGCGAGGCTGGCTCTGTTACTGAGCACAGCATAGTGAGGGACAGTCCTACCACCTGCAGAATGCGAGCTCTCTGAAGAGTCGCCTTTATGGGTCTGAGGTACTTGCTGGAGTCGAGCCACAAAACACAAAACCCACCTCAGACCCGGAGCCGACAGCTGGAGGAGAGAGTGTGTGTGCGTGTGTAAGCGAGAGCCCCACAAGAACGTTGATGAAGACAAGAATGTGCACGAGACAGACTGCAATCCCCGAGATGCCCATTTTTTTAAGCTGCGTGGAGCTTGCTGTCACCAAGACTCCCAATCTCAGAACTCAATTTAGGGCACAAGCAGAGGATGACAAAGGGGGCTCCTTCCTTTAGTTCCTCTCTTTGTCTGCAGCTGAGGAAGCTAGAAATTGCCTCCCGCCGTGGTGGGTCTAACACTAACATTGTCACCAGCTGCCTCCTCTCCAAGTGTCGCTTTACCCGCTCACCCCCGTCACCTTTCATCATGAAGATAATCTGCCCAGTGAAATGCTCAATGTGGAGAAACAACGGTAACAAGGTACTTAGTTGAGCCAGGAAGAGCATTTTATGAATAGAAAAGAAAATGCTATGCCTACTGACATGAAAAAATTAACACTGCAACTTCATTTTGTATTAATCTTTGGCTAAACCATCTCCATGAACTTATCCTGGACATCCCCATCTGTGGGCCGTGGCATGTGATCACCCCAGTGGTAGGTGTTAAACAACCAAATAGCGTAAAGCTGGTTCTCCTGCAAAAAATAAAGTATAAGTGTGACTTTTATGTGGCAAGTTTGGCCGGTGGAGCAGACAGTTTGATCAGGAAAAAGTCACCTCGGATCTGGAGATATTTAGTTCGGTTGTCTCAGGACTGGGTCTTTAGAAACCAATGTATTACATGTTTACATTTTCATAGCCAGAGTTCAGTAACTATGAATGGATTTGGGAATATTTAATTTTTTTTAGAGTCTGTCTCATCTGCAAAAACAGCACGAGGTTCCTACTATGAATTTGGGGGGAGGGAGAACACAGGTCTGGTAAAAACAATTGAGTAACTTTTCTTAGGTGGTTAGTTACAAACACAAAATTGTGGCCACACAACACAACATCAGTCCAAAGCCCATTTGGGACCCTTTGAAATGAAAGAAATTCACATGTGAAACACAATATCTTTTGTGCATTATTCCCATTAATTTAATTCCATCTCTTTCAAATATACCCCCCAATCAGTAATAGGGTGAAACAAATTTATTCCCTGGCAGTATTTTCTTAGCCTCTCTAATACTTTGTGATCTAAGAAAAACAAAACAAACATTCGTTCAAAAATCTACTATGATTTTGGGGCACAGAAAACCGACTCTGTCCACTTTCCCAGCTCCACGAAACAGATTCCACACATCAATGAGACACACCGAAATCTTTCATTTTACTATAAATTCTGTTGAAAACCAACGCTTACCGTTTTCAAAGCGGTCCTGAAAAATGACTAAAGAGAATTGTTTTTTCTTTTAAACTCTTCACCCAAAACATTTGCTTGAAAAACGTTCTGAATAGGGACATTGCCTGGTAAAACACATGCAGTCGACAAAATATCAAATTTCTCTTTCCAGCTGTCCAGAATCCCATTAGTGCCGCTTACTCCTATCTGTCTTTTGCTATAATTAGGATGGCTTAGGGTTTATCTGGGCCTTTTTTCAAAACCAGATTTCCTTCCCAGCAGCAGCAGCTGTCATTCACAAGTACCCTCACGGTACTGGGAGACTTCTTTTGATTTGCACTGAGGCACAGTGATCATAACTACGAAGGGAAGGGAAACACACACATACACACACACACAATCACACACACACACATACACACACACACATACACAATCACATACACATACACAATCACACACACATACACACATATACATACACACATATACACACACACACACACACACACACACAAATACCTTTCATCTAGTAATTTTTTAAAAAAAGGAGTCTTACCCGAGGACGAGCACTCCAGTCTGGAACTCCACCTGTTTCAAACAGGTTCTGGACGGGCATCCCTTCTCCCGCGAAGCCTGAGTAACCTCCTTGGGGGAGTGAGCCCCGGGGAGTTTGCGGGGTTTTTCCTTCTCGCTCTGCTTGGACTGGACTAGCACATTGTCCTGCAGGGAACTGGGAATTGCAGTCAGCTTCTGCTCTGGCCCAAGAACCGTCTCTTTGATCACTCTGGGTTCGTGGGTGCTTAACGGGTTCTTTGGGATAGAAGAGATTAAAGGTGCTTTCTGTTGTATTCGCTTTCAGGCTGGGGCTCAGTTTCTTGGGTTTTCCTCTCGTGCTGGGCCACCTCAGCCTGGCAGGTTTCTCCGAGCCTCTCTTGGTCAATGAACCCTCATCCCCTACTCTTCCCTCGGCTGCGATCTCCAACCACTGGCTCGCCCCTGGCTTTTCTAACTCACCAGACAAGCGCTGCATCGCCGTCTCGATCTCTGCTTTATCTGTGTTTAGCAGATGGTCACTGGTGAATTCCTCTCCTGCCTGATGGCTGTCTCTGGTTTCTCTTCGAATTCCTGGATAATCATTTTCAGTAGCCTCGGAAGCAGCGGGTGGTTTATATCTCCCCGGGTCTGTCACCGCAGACGTCGCGTCCCAGTGAGGTCCCAAAGTCAGAATCATCCCCGTTTGCAGGGATGAGGGACTGTGGGTGGAGGCTTGGCCGCTCCTCACCCCCACTTCTGGGGGTTGTGAGTGATAACCACAGAGGCCAGTGGTGGCCTCCATAGGCCCGATGTCATCCGACACCCGAGACCCACAACCCATTTCACCGAGGAGATGCTCACACCCACCCAGGCAACACGCACTGGATTCCATCTCTTCGTCATCGCTTTCTAATAAAAAAACATGCTCAGTCCCCTGCAGTTTCCTTTGCCAAACTGCATTAGAGTAATCCGTCATAACGTCGGAACATTCCAGATACTCTAGGTCATCATCTGAAAACTCCTCGGTGCAGGTTAGGGTTATCTCTGGGCAAAGTTCATAGTCACTGTCAGAGTCTTCGCTGGACACCTGTGGGCTGACTTGCTGCTTGATCGCGGCCCTGTCACCTGGGCAGACGGATGCAGTCCCCTCGGACAGCGGCAGGCTGAAGCTGACGTATTTCTGTCCTGTGGGGTCTGCTTGGCCAGAGTCCGAGACTCTGTCCTGAGGGTCATCACTGTGTAAGGCATCCGTCAGCCTCGATCCTTTGGAATGGACTGTTCTGTGGCAATATACATTGTGGTTGGTGGGAATACGACTTAAATTAGAAAAAAGCAGCCCGTCTGCGGCTTCCTCGGCGTCACCCAGATCACGAGCCTCTCCGGTTGGCCTCGTTCCTTTAACATCCAAGGGATTTTCCAAGCTGGAGGCATGAGGGTCACTACTGGCCTGCAGTGAGCAGGAACAGCTGAATTTGGAGGAGGGGGAATCAGCTGACATGGCAGTACCTGTGGAGACATTTTCCTCCCCCTCACGAGGATGTTCTTTCTCATCAAGCTGATCTGTTTTCTCCTGTGCACATGCCTCTGTTGCGTGTCTCCATCCCATGCCCCTGCCATCTTTCGGGTCAGGAGAGAGCTGTGGGTTCTCTGCTGAGCACTTGACTTCAACAGAAGCAGAGCAGCAAATCATTCCAGAAGAATTTTTAGCTGAGATTTGGTAAACAGCAGCGTCATCTGGGCTACAGCTGGGATGAAGAGAATACACAGGTAAGTTTGCCGCATTTGGATGGATATGCCAACCTTTCTCACGTCATGGCACACAGAAAACCCCCAGGATTGTTGCTGTACCCTCAAGGGGATCTGTGGTCTCCCCGCAAAGGGGCTTGTGAGCTCCCCGCAAACCAGCTTCTGAGTTCCAGCTGCGCTCACGCTGAGAATCCAGGAAGCTCTGCACTTTCCCGTAGAACTTTCCACATGCTTGCCCCAACTTGAAAAATGCTGAGAATTATTCAGATGAATGGGGAAGCATCTGATATTCTAGTTTTCTTCTTCTCTCCTTTTATTTTAAGTCTTTTTTATGCTATGGGAATTTGAAAAAAATATTATCTGGAGGGAGACCTTGTACACAAACAGCTGAAGAATTCGACCTCATGCTGTGGAACAGCATAAGCAATAGCTCTTCTTAAGCCTGTGCTGAGAAGGCAAGGTTCCTGCCAGGAAGCTGTAAAGGTATCAGGCTGGGATTATGTGTATGAAGAATGGTGCCATTTCTCTACATTTTACATGACTGTGAAGTCTAAGCCCCATCCCACGAGACCCTCTGCCTGGAAACTCATGTCCACATGCCATCCTGACTTACCTAGACCAAGCCAGGCGTTCGGCTTGGATCCAGCAGGGAAGAAACTGGATCCTAGATCATGCTGAGCCTGCTCTCCCTGCTCCAGGAGAGACGGTGCTCCCGGGGCCCCTCCCTTTATTGACTCCAGCCTAACAGGCTTCGGTGACCTTTCCGACTAGGGCCTCCCTTCAGGCTCCACAGTCCCGATAAACACTTGTTACACTTGTTCTAATTTGCACTCTTTTATCTCAGTGTAGCTATAACATTGCTGGTCTCACTCCACGCATTATCCAGCTCAGAAGTCAATCAGCATTTTCGGAAGGCGGAAGCTATGGGTCTGGCCAGATTTAGAGGTCATATTTAGATATTTATTGACTGATCTGTGTACAATGTGCACCAGTATCTAAGCCAGATGGGTCAGTGTTAGAGACTCAATGGCACAGAGTCTTATTCTCTGTCTTCTCCCTGAAGGCCTCCCTGTGTCTCTCCAAGCTCCTATGTGCTTGTAAGCCCTCAATGTTGGGTGCCTGCTCGCACATGCCCCATTTTTCAAAAATCATAGATTAATTGCAATTTTGTTAATATCTTGGTCTTTAATAATTTGGTTCCCAAGTAGAAGCCAGTCAGGGGTGGCTGAGGCTGGCCACCACTGATCTTTGCGTGTGCCTTGGCCAACAGCATGGGGAGAGCGGAATTCAGGGTAACTTTCTAGAGGAAATAGTACCTGCCCCTCCTGTCGACTTCACAAGGTTATGCTGAAGTTCAAATGAGAAAAATCAATGTGAAGGGGCGTGGCAAAGCAGAAAGTTTATGCCACATATATTCTATAAGAATGTAGAAGTGAAAAGTGATATTTACACGATGGGATAGAGACAGGAGCTGACACTGCTATGGCAATCGTAAATGCATCAAATCAATATGTTGTATACCTTAAAACATACGCAATGTTGTATGTCAACTATAACTGAAAACAAAAAAAAAAAAAAGATGTGAGAGTGCTAAAACCAGATTACCTCAGGTTCTCAAGAAGTGTGCAGAAGAATCATCAGGAAACTGCTTAAAATTTTTGAAACAGAAACCCATGAGTAAAAGGCCTAAGAATCTGCTTTTAAAGACCCTAAACAGGAGTGCCAGGGTGGCTCAGTCAATTGAGCATCCGACTCTTGATTTCAGCTCGGGTTGTGATCTCAGGGTCATGGGATCGAGCCCCATGTTAGGCTCCGTGCTCAGCAGGGAGTCTGCTTCTCCCTGTCCCTCTGTGCCTCCCCCTCAAATAAATAAATAAATATTTTTTAAAAAATATTTTTATTTATTTCACAGAGATCACAGGCAGAGAGGTAGGCAGAGAGAGAGGAGGAAGCAGGCTCCCCAAGGAGCAGAGAGCCTGACATGGGGTTCGATCCCAGGACCCGGGGATCATGACCTGAGCTGAAGGCAGAGGCTTTAACCCACTGAGCCACCCAGGGGCCCCAAATAAATAAATGAATCTTAAAAAAAAAAGATCCCAAACACATTCTGCTACAAATTGTCCTGGGCCTGCCCTTGGAGACAGCCTCATCCTCATCCTCATTACTTACACATAGATCTCCTCAACTGAGCTGAATTAAACCTGAATAAAGAGAAAGGGGCCTCTGTTTGATATTCACATGGCCCACACCACTGCCAACTTGCCTCTTCTTCCTTAGCTCTTGGAGACCTGTCCTCAGTTTTGGACTTAAAAGGAGCATAGGACAGTACCATGGTCTACTGGGACATCCCAAGTAATTCTGATTTCCTGATTTATCCAGACCATGATCCCAGTGCCAGAGAAACCACCCACCCTGAAAGCACCAAGACTTATGGAAAAAACAGAAGGGAAGAGAAGAAAATAAGACAGAGAGACCAAAGGACCAGGTAAGAAAGCATTAAAAGTGGGGAACAGAGATGGTTCTCAAGAACCAAGGAGAGGAAACCAAAGAAATTTTAGGAAAAAATGTGGAGAAAATGATTGAATTAAATATATTTCACTTCTGAATGACTAAATAAGAGAAGGGGAGAATGTTAGGATTTAGTAACATATGATTTTATGGAGTATGTGTTTTGGCCGATAAAAGATTTACAAACCATCTTAGGTTTACTTAAGAGGAAAAATATAACTGACCTCTCAGAAGTTGATTAGGTAGAATTCTTCTCACTGGCTAATTAATGACCTCTTTTCAGAGACTTATGATTTGTGGTTGACATGTCCTTGATCGTTATCTCTAAGCATCTTAAAGAAGAGAGGGAGCAAATTCAGCCACGAGCATGGCATTTGTTGAATGTCCCCGCTAGTGAACAATGTGCGTGCCACTCCCCTGCGTGCAAAACAGAGGGTTGGGGGGGGGGGTTGAGTAATTTCCCTGAAGTGACCAAGTTGGTCAGTGGTGGAGGGGGCTAGGAAACCAGAGCCTTCTACTCTGAAGCCAGGTTCGGTATGTCATGTTAGAAAACTCACATTCAGAAAAGGGAAGTGGCCAATGTAGAGAGACCATTTTTGCAAATAATGCATTTCTGTCCTAAGTTTTCATCTTCATTGGCCAACTGACAACACTTGTGACAAGTTCATTCTGGTGCCCAGTATTACATTGAGTGCCGAGCCAGAGTCAAGGAGACGCGTACCACGTCATGTCCAGCCCTAAAATGACTAAAAATTTCCTGGGGGAGACAATCTGAATTTCTGTGAGAACCTTGTGGGTCAGTTCTGCGCTGAGTTGTCCGGGGCAACTGGAAGAGAAGAGAAGCTCAAAGAGGGGACTCCGGTGGGAGCAGCTGGAAGGGTGTGAGTAGGGTTGGGTTTTAGAATCTGCAAGATGCTGGCAGAGCGAACTGTGTGCCCCACAGTAATTTGACAGGAATGCAGAAGCATCCCGGAAGAAATTCCCCAAACAATTAGTTGCATTCCCTCCTTGTGGATCTTTCCTTTTGGCTGAAGGAAGCAGCAGCATTCCTCCACCTTGATGTGAAAGTCTTGCTGGAATCCTCTACGTTCTTTCTAAATTAATCATTTCCATATTAAAGAAAAAGAGCTACATGTGACCTTAAGTGGATGGGGCTTCTTCTGGGCTTGAACCCCCTGGGTTAGTCTAAACCAGAGGTTCTTAAATATTTGAGCAGCAAGAACTCTTTATAGACTCTCAAAAACAACAGAGGACTCCCAAGAATGCTTGTTTACGGGTTATATCTATCAATATTTACCATATTGAAATTAAAACAGAAAAATTGAAAATGTTTATTCATTTAAAAATAACACAAATAAGCTCATTAACGTTAGCATAAATAGCATATATGATATATAATAGCATATATATAGGAAAATACATGTATTTTTCCTAAACAAAGTAAAATTTCCTAAGAGTGGCATTGTTTTATATTTTTTCACACATCTAATATCTGGCTTGATAAATGATAGATTTTTTTTTTTAAATCTGCTTCTGCATTGTGATGTAATAATACATTGTTTTGGTTGAAGTATATGGAGAAAATCTGGCCTTGCACAGATATGTAGTTGGAAAAGGAAAAGTATTTTAATAGTCTTTTCATATGATTGTGGAAAATCTTTGATACTATACCAAGAGTGGTTGCAATGTCGGATCGGAAACCCTATCAGCAAGTTACCTAAAATCCATTGGCTTTGACTGCATTTTACATGCATCTTTACTCAGACGTGATTTTGTAACATCATATATTGTTCAATTGGAGGAACTTAGTTCGTGAGATCTCCTAAACATTAACACACTTCGTTATACATTTTTTTTAAAGATTTTATTTATTTATTTGACAGACAGAGATTACAAGTAGGCAGAGAGGCAGGCAGAGAGAGAGAGAGGAGGAAGCAGGCTCCCTGCTGAGCAGAGAGCCCAATGTGGGGGCTCAATCCCTGGACCCCGGGATCATGACCTGAGCCGAAGGCAGAGGCTTTAACCCACTGAGCCACCCAGGTGCCCCATTATACATTTTTTAAAATCACATTAATTAATATTCCTACTGATAATTTGGAAGTATTGGGAAACTGTCAAGCTTCTGATGAAGGATATAAGTTTTTGAAATTTCTAGTTAGGGAAATAATACAAATATTAATTGATCATAACAATATAAGTCAATTCTGTGCTAAGTTGCTTGGCAGAGCAACTTAATTGGAAGGGCTGAGGCCATCAGTAAAAGAACAGAGTAAAGAACTTCTGAACATTTCTCCTCCATAAAAGCAATAAGAATGCTGGCAAAATGTATCTGAATCGGCTTTTTCAGAATTCTGAAAGTCAGTTGGAAAATCTGAGGAGGGTTTATTCAAGAAAAATGGCTGAATCTCAGGAAAAATAGCAAATTTTCTGGTGGTGTCACTTTCCCTGTCCTACCCCTCATCCTCATCTCCATGGAGTCCGGTAAACCAAG